TTTGTGTGGATTAACCAGCAGATTTGCCCCGTGTGATAACGTCCATGGGCCTGTACAGAACGGCCAAAGGGGCCGGCCTGGGGGTGGAGTCGGGGCATGGCAATCGCATGCTGGCTGCCTCGACGCCACCATCATGCTGTGTGCCCCGCTGCATGGCAGGTGGCATCAGGGCATTTCCTTGGTGCAGCATTCAGGCATGCTGCCCCAAAGGAGCGTGGAAAAGCCACCACCACCAGGGCTAGGGCAGCTTTTGCAGCTCTAAAAAAGAGTGGCACCCCAATCCGGAAAGGAAAGGGGCAGTGGGACACCACCCCTTAGGGGCCGTCTGTTTAGCCCCACGATTATCACAGGCCAGTCTGCAGTCTCATCTGCAGACTGAAGATAAATGCCCTTCTTTTTCCTTTTGATCTTTCTGCTCTTCCTCCCCTCTCCCATATATATATATATATATATATATATATTGCTGGTCTTTTGCTCTGTTGAACCTGGTAGCTATTCAGCCTTTCCTTTTGCTCACTCTCCTTCTTGCTCTTATAAGGCAATGGAATACTCTCTAGCCATCTACACATTAGAAATAATGCAGTTTAACATTGGTTTAAGTGCTGTAGCTCCATCTTATGGAATATTGGGATTTGTAGTTTTACAAGATCTTTAGCCTTCTCTACCAAAGAGTGCCAGTGCCTCACAAAACTACAAATCCCAGGATTGTGTAGCCACAGAGCTATAGCAATTAAGGTGGCATCAAACTGCACCATTTCTACAGTGTAGATGCAACTTCTATGTTTCTCAAAACTATTTGAAGAGTTTAAAGACCCAGCAGAGGGAAACACTATGTGAGAATTGGCCATAGGTACTTTAATTAAATGACTATCTCAGGCTTGCCCCTAGTTTGTGTCCAGGGAAGGTCAAGAGACATCTGCCACAGAGTAACTGGAATGGTACTATAGTACTGTATCCAATAGCTTAAAACCAATTGATAGTTCTAGGTAGAGTGAATTGCTGAATGGTAAATCAACATTTATGTAAATACTATTGATTCAGTCAGCCTAATCTAGTTGGGACTACCAAAAGGATTCAACCCAATGACTTTAAATGTTACATCCAGATTAAGCATTCAAATGATATTTTGTAGTGATACTAGTGGGAATGTCTTCTTACTGAGCTGGAAGCCTGGGTATCCCTGACTGTTAGTGTGGTTACGCAGCACGTGATGATCCACATCAACGTGTAGCACCAGGGTCTCAGCGCCACCTTCTCAGATGCAGGCAGTAGCTTGTGAGCTGGAGAAGCACCTCTCCCTTTCCAGAAAGAGTAAAGAGACTCTACAAATAGGCATCTCTCAGATGAGGCTTTAATCTTGGTTCCTCTATGTACAAGGCTATATACACACTACAACTCCTCCACCACCATCAACAACCACAACCACACATGTGTCCTGAGGCAACTCCCTTATATACCCAGGGCTCCATGTGGCCTTTTGGCCCTGCCTTTTCCTTCTGACACCTGTCACTCATCCAGGGTGATTTGACAGTTTTGCAGCCTTTTCTGTGCTTTACAGCACCTGGTGACCATCAGCTGATGTCACTTCTCCTGACTCAGCACCTGGTAGAAAGTGCTTAGTCATCATGGCTGCTTGTGACCCTTTCATGCCTGGTCACTTTTGTATCAAATCACATTGAACATTTTCCCTGGGACACTGTCTCAACACTGACAGCACTTCTTGGAACAAGTCTTTCCATTCTTATAGTTATAACTAGCCTTAGGCAAAGACACATCAAAGAGGCCAAATCTGCATAGGAGAGAGATCACTTGAGACAGTGATATCAAGGTGGGAATGGGTTGTAAAATGGGATTCCAGCTTGGTTGCAAAAGCATCCTGGTTGTAAATTACCTTAGCCTTCCTGTTTCTCGAAATGTGAATTCCCTTCCTAAATGCAGCTCCTAAACTTCCCTTTTGATCTTTATCTAAATTCCCTGGATATGTGGACTCTTGCTCTTGGGCTCATGGTGGCTCAGGGTTTCCAGGTCCACTTAGGGCCATGGCAAGGAAAGCATACACACACACCAAAATT